ACTACAGCTCCACCAACCACTGCTGCGCCTGTGACCACTGACGTTCCTATCACTACAGCTGCACCTGTAACCACTGCTGCGCCTGTGACCACTGACGTTCCTATCACGACAGCTGCACCGGTCACTACTGCTGTCCCGGTGACCACTGCTGCACCTGTGACCACTGACGTTCCTATTACTACCGGCGTCCCTATCACTACTGTGGCGCCTGTGACCACTCCTGCACCTGTGACCACGGACGTTCCTATTACTACCGGCGTCCCTGTCACTACTGTTACGCCTATTACCACTGCTGCACCTGTGACCACTAGTATACCTGTGACCACTGACGTTCCTATTACTACTGCTGCACCTGTCACTACTGCTGTCCCGGTGACCACTGCTGCACCTGTGACCACTGACGTTCCTATTACTACCGGCGTCCCTATCACTACTGTGGCGCCTGTGACCACTCCTGCACCTGTGACCACGGACGTTCCTATTACTACCGGCGTCCCTGTCACTACTGTTACGCCTATTACCACTGCTGCACCTGTGACCACTAGTATACCTGTGACCACTGACGTTCCTATTACTACTGCTGCACCTGTCACTACTGCTGTCCCGGTGACCACTGCTGCACCTGTGACCACTGACGTTCCTATTACTACCGGCGTCCCTATCACTACTGCTGCGCCTATTACCACTGGTATTCCTGTGACCACTGATGTCCCAATCACTACTGGGGTTCCTGTCACTACTGCTGCGCCAGTCACTACTGGCATACCTGTCACTACAGATGTCCCAATCACTACCGGCGTCCCTGTTACTACTGCTGCGCCTGTGACCACTGGGATTCCTGTCACTACTGACGTTCCTATTACCACGGGTACTGCTGTCACGTCGGCTGCCCCTGTGACCACTGGCATTCCTGTCACTACTGACGTTCCGATCACCACGGGTATCCCTGTCACTACTCCTGTCACTACTGACATTCCTATTACCACGGGTACCGCCGTGACCTCGGCTGCCCCTGTCACTACGAGCGCCCCTGCCACCACCGACGTGGCCACGTCCGCCCCCCCCAAGACGTTCACGATCCTTCCCACCGACATCGTCGTGGCGACCACCGAGCTGCCCGTGACGGCCAGCGTCGTGTCGCAGGAGCTCCTGAACGGCACGACGCGGTCGCCGACCCTCTCGACGACCCAAGCCCCGCTGGAATCGCTGGTCGAGAAGACGTCTGTGCCCAAGGTGGCGGTCCCCGGTGCCCCGAACGGAGACGGCAGCAAGCTCCAAGGCGAGGAGGTCGCACCGGACAACAACAGCAACCGCCAAGACAAGCGCCGCGACGACTTGGCGGGCAAGACTGACGAAGAGATCCAGGACATCAAGGCCACCATCACCTCTGGGTACGAGTCCAAAACCGAGCAGACGCTGCGGTACGTGAGCTCGTCCGTGGTCGGCATCACGCTGGTGTTGCTCGCTTTCTTCCAGTTCATCGCCATGAATCCATCGTACATCCTGCCCGACTCGCCATCCGACCGCCTCGCCGCGCCCAACTCGTGGGAGTTCCCGGCCTTTGTCTTCTTCATCCAGCAAGTGGGCGTGCTCTCCCTCGCTAAAAACACCAAAGTGCCCCACAAGTTCTACGTCAGCTTTCTCGACTCGCTCAGCTGGCTTGTATTTTTGATCCGCGGGTCTCCGTCTGCCGACTCGAACAACGCGGCCGTGTCCAGCTCCCAACTCGTCGCGATCGGCGGCGGCCGGTCGCTCGTGGAGTCGTCCACGTACGACGCCCAGGGCAAGATTCAGTTTTCGTTGCGCTCGGACGTGAATGATAAGGACTGGTTCATGCGGGTATGGGTAGCCGTGCTCGTGGTCATCGCGGTGCTCATGGTGTTTGTGATCTGTACTGCGCTGATTTCGCAGTGGGTGGCCCAGCGCGGTAACCCGTTCCACTCGGACACGACCGACTCGCACAAGCGGTCCGTGAGCTTCCGCAGCATCTCGCGCCGCCTCCTCGGCATGTGCGTGCTCGTCGGGTTCTTCTCCATCCTCCCCCTGTCTATGATTTCCATGTTTGAAGTGCTGCAGGATGCGTCCACCGCCGGGTTTCCCCACATATATGCGATACTGTCCCTTGTGACGCTGGCCTTGGTCGTTGGCTCGGTACTCTACGGCATGTACGCGCTGCAGTCGCTCACCGAAGCCGGTCTGTCCAAGTGGCGCACCCGCGTGGTGTGGGGTGTCGTCTACTCCAACTACCACTACACGAGTCGCCTCTTCTTTGCCGCCGGCGCCCTCGTCCAGTTCCTCACGGGTATATTGGTGGCCGCCGTCACCGGCGACGCCTTCGTCCAGCTCCTTTGCCTCGTGATTGTGCACGCTTTGTACCTGGTGAGCATGTTTGTGCTGCAGCCGTTCGTGTGCAACGTGCACTTCAAGTTCGCCATTGGCTTCCAAGTGCTCATTTTGGTCGTGTTCTCGCTCGCGTGTGGCCTCGCCGGCGACTCGATCTCCAACGACACCCAGCTCAACTTGTCCTACGCCGTCGTAATCCTCCTCATCATTGTGTTTGTCGTCATGTTCATCCGCCAGCTGTACATGCTCTGGACGTACGCGTCCGCGTGGGCCAAGGACGAGCATGATAGCGTCACAGGCATGCCGACCCTCCACGACCACGAGATTGAGTCTGGCTGCGGCAACTACACCATCTCCCTGCGCGACACGGAAGACCACGGGCACTCATCGGGCGGAAAGAACGCCGTTTCACTTCACAACAGTGGTGGTGACGACAGCCCCATGAACACGATTCGCATCGTCGATACCAACTCCAAGCGCCACCTGTAAACAAGTCGTGGTTGTGTGTATACGATGAATGTCGCTGTATGTTGCGTGTTGGTGTGCTTTCAATGTTATCCGAGGGCTCTACTGCACTACCGAGGCGAGGAGCTATTCAGATTGCGTTAGTGTACAGCTAACGAGCATGCGCAATGCAGGTGGATGGATTCACGTCCTGGGAAGTGCATCTCCAGCTTGCTGGCCTGCCAAGAGGCAGCCGCGACAGCAGGTCGATCATGCTGTGGGTTGAGTGCCAGAGAGTTAGAATTCATAAATCCGTTGTGCAATACTATTTTCAGCCAATCCGAGACAAGGAAATCATAGTGTTGGGATATAATTAAGGGAATTCTATTCCGCCTTCTTCCTTCTTCATTTGGCCGAAACAATTTGGTCGCGTTGCAATATCCCTGTTACCACCGCGTCGACGTCCACGGTACTTCCATCTCTTCTTCCACGTAGATGGTGGTAATGGGCAACGATGTAGTAGACGACTAGCATGACGATGCGCTGGGAAGACATGAAGCACATAGCGCCCTCGGTCCCCACACTAAAGAACCACACTGGTGAGCACACCATCTACGTTGGTGTGATCTCCTTCATCACCGGCTCATGGCACTCGTAGCAACCCTTGTGGGCTCTCGGATATTTGTGTTTGGCGGGTACGATGGCCGCCGCAACCACAACGACTTGCACATATTCGACTGCGACACGCTGTCGTGGGAAACCTACACAGACCCTAGATCCTCCAACCAAGACTCGACGCCTCCTTCATTGTCTGCAGCGTTTCCAGCCAGCCGCAACGGCCACACTGCGACGCTGGCGCACAACAGCATCTATATCCTCGGCGGGTGGCTTGGCAGCGGTCCCCATGCTGCGAACGACCTGCACATCCTGCACGTCAACTCGATGCGATGGGAGTCGCCTATCACCACCGGCACCCCTCCCGGCCCATGCAACATGCACACGACCGACTACCTTCCCAACATCAACGGCCTGCTCGTGTTTCGCGGCGGTGATGGCAAGGAGTACCTAAACGACCTCCACCTCTTCGACCTCCCCACGCGCCACTGGAGCCGTCCCACGACCCACGGCACCCCTCCGAGTCCCCGCGCGAATCACAGCTCGGCCGTTCTGGACCATCGGTTGTTTGTGTTTGGTGGATGGAACGGCACGCATCGCCTCAACGACCTTCACATGCTGGACACCACAACCTGGCAATGGACGTCGATTTCGCCATCTTCCGAGGGAAGCATGATGCTGCCCTTCCCCAGAGCAGGCATGACGTTTGTGGCTGTCCGCCGCCGCTTTTTTCTCTTTGGCGGGTACGGCAGCTCCCCCAACCACCCGTTCCCAGCCAAATGCTTCAGCGACCTCCACGTGTTGGACACTGATCAAACCTCCACCCATTGGACGCCCGTTGTGCCTTCTGGTCACTCGACCTGTACTCCTCCAGCCTATCTTTCGTCCACAGGTTGTTCCAGTGACTTGGCCAGCGACGCCAACCCCAACGATGCACGACCATTCGATTCTCCTCACGCACCGTACGTCCATATCTATGATTTGCCGTGTGCATACATACATATCCCTGCTGCTTGAGACGAGGACGAAATGAGATGATATATCTGAGACGAGGTTGGCCGTGTAGACGGGACCCTCGGGTTGTGACCGTCGAAGGCGTGGGACCGAGCCGACGCGCTGGCCACACGTGCACAGTGGTCGGCCGCCGCCTCTTCATCTTTGGAGGCAGCCACCACAACGAGTACCTCAATGACATGCATGTCCTGGACACGGACCCGTCGCCACAGGCGGTCGTGGCGCTCGCCGCCCCCATGGATTTTAACAGCGCACTGCGGCCGTATGCGAATTCGCCCACGTTTTCAGACATCTCGTTCGTACGTTGTCGCAGATTCGATTTTATACTGAGATCTGTATGTAGATTGTGGAAGGCCATGTCGTGTATGCCCACAAGTTGGTGCTGTCCATGGCCAGCGACCACTTCCGCGCGATGTTTTCCGCTGGCTTTCGGGAAGCATCGGCGGCGGCGATTGTGATTCCGAACATGTCCCGCGGTGGATTTGAAGCCATGATGGCGTACGTGTACTCGGGCCACGTTGTCGGTGAAATGGGGTGGGAAGACCTGCTGGAGCTGCTCGTGGCGGCTGACCAGTACATGCTGGACCACCTCAAGCAAGTATGCGAGCGACAACTGCAGCTAGCTCTAGATAAGGACAACGTCGGGTTCTTGATGGAGGCCGCCGAGAGGGCCAACGCCAGTCAGCTCATGGCCGTGTGCCGCCATTTCGTGCGCAATTATGCCGACAAAGAGTCGACTCGACATGCGAACGACGACACTCCATAGAAGTGTCGATCATAATCTATTTAAAACGGGAATGCGGTGTCCAAGCTTAACGTTATTCAACGTTTAGAAATTGTCGATTTGATACAAATTTGGGGACGGGGTGCAATCGAATCGCGCCGACCAAACCAATCTACAATTGATCTGATTGGTTAAATTTCATTGAGAAGGTTTTGATTGGCTAAAAATTTTGAGCTCTTCTGAAGTAGCCAATCAAATCGATTTACATTCCAACGAGAAACCACACCACAATAAGAAATTTCACTCGAAAGCACAATATTGTTGTGATTATTCTAAACTGGAGCGACACATGGAGAAAAATGAATCCACCGACACAACCAAATAAAGGCACAGAAGAGCAGAAGAATATGAGCCAATCAGATTGCAGGAAACCATCATCAACGTCAAATTAGTGTGTGACTTGAATTAGTGTGATTACAATCACCACAGGACAACACTTGATAAACAAAATCAGTACAAGTAATCGATCGATAGATTTGGCGAATCAGCACAAAAGTCAGCCAAATTTTGGGTAAAAATACACTAACTGTAAATATACTCACTGTGACTCTTGTCCGATACATACTTGGAAGTACTCTAGAGTATATAAATGTTACAATGTTGAACTCTGTGAAATGGAGAAGCTTGGCAATGCACCTTATACGCCTGTAATTTGATTGATCAAAGTTATATTTTGAAATTTTCATTGGCTACTACTTCGCTCCCTCGATTACTGCGGCGTCGATTTTGCTTCGTCGATTCGATTGGCAGTGCCAGTCCAATTTGATATTGAACTCCGGAGTACCAATATTAGTTGGGAACCATGTTTATCCGTAACGTTCGTTATAAAGCATGCCAGGAAACCCAAACGAATCGCTAGTATACAAGAAACCAGCAAAAAAAGAACATACAGGCCTTGCGCCAAGATGATGTATTACCGTATTCCAATCGGAATTGGTTCCTTCCGCGGCCAATGTGTTAGGTGTATAAATGTATGTGGACGTCGTTGGGATGTTGTACGGGTAAATTGATGCACAATACAAGCTGAAGGTAGTGCATCGATTTTCGGAATCATTTCTGGTCGGATTTTTATCGGTTCATTGGAGGGTTATTGCTCCGCCATTAATTCGAATCAAGGGATTCTGCATGTATGGTGCGAAAATATAATTCACGGAGCATACTTCAATGTTGAACGATGCGATATTTTTGATTTGTATGCAATGGAAATAGTTATGCGCTCTACGACTTCGATGAAGTGCCACGGGAAAAGGTGAACTACGTATTGTGAATTCGCTATGAACTTTCAAAATTCGCGTGGTTTGTCTAGCTAGTCATCAATCATATTGAATCTCGCTCGAGTTTTGATTGGTTGAATATACATGTCCATTCTGTAAGAGCCAATCAAATCCACTCAAAATTGGATTAGCCAATCGCGTCGATTCGTGATTATTCGATTCCGCGGCGCGATATTCTATTATTCGACGGGGTCTGGAAACTTGTACCGAATCCACAATAACGTTAACGTTAGTACTACTTCATTGCCATTAGTACTACTTCATTGTCATTGCTTTATCAACTCTAAATTCTAGACCTGAGCCACACATCTCGTTTTCTCTTGCATCGTGTTCTGTCGATTCCATGTGCCTTTTTATAGTATTTAAATACTAAACTGGGGCGACGATATAGTACTTCTGAAAAGTAGCTGGTGTTTTATAGATGGAGTGCACCATAGTAATAGGGACAAGTCGGAAAAACGGCAAAGTACCAATCATGCACATCTAGTATAGATGCCACATAACAACACAGGTAACGTTACACTGTACTAATAGTACTACTAGTACTACTAGGGCTTGAACTGGTCGGTGGCGCGCACCAATTCGGCCGCAATCCCGGGCTCGCCGGCGGAATGGCCCGCGGTTTGCACGACGCGCAAGTCGGCTTCGGGGAACGCCTTGTGGAATTCCCACGCCGTGACCATCGGGCACACCACGTCATAGCTACAGTCCACGTAAAATAATATTAATCATCTATTGTCGATTTGATTCAAATTTGAGGGGGGGTGCAATCGAATCGCACCGACCAAACCGATCCACAATCGATATGATTGGTTGAATTTCATTGAGAAGGTTTTGATTGGCTAATAATTTTGAGCTCATCTGCCAATCAAATCGATTTAAATTCCAACGAGAAACCACAACACAATGAAATTTCACTCGAAAGCACAATATACAAGACTCTTCTATTCTTTTTTGAAGAATAGATGACGACGTACCGGCCTTGCACGATCACGGTGGGGATGTGCCGAATCTTGTGCACTTGGTCGATCAAAAAGTTTGGCGTGGGGAAAAAGCCCTTGTTCACAAAGTAATGGTTCTCGATGCGGGCAAAGGCTTCCGCGAACCGCGCGTTCTTCATGGACTTGTCGACGGCATCCACGGGGGGCTTGAGGTTGCTCGTGGACAGCTCCCACGTCGTCCACGCCAGCGCAGCCGCCAGCCGGACGCTTTCGTCCGGACTCGTCAGGCGCTTGTGGTATGCCGTGAGGAAGTCGTGGCGTTCGTCCTCGGGGATGGCGTCGCGATAGGCTTCCCATCGATCCGGGTACAAAAAGTTGGCGCCGCTCTACCAGCCGATGATTGGACTAGTATTACTAGTAGTAGTAGTACCTGATAGTAAAATTGGACTTCTTTGTCGCGGAGGTGGAAAATGCCACGCAAGACCAACTCGGTCACGCGTGTCGGGTGCGTTTCCGCATATGCCGTCGACTACACAGCGAGTAAATATTTATAAATGAATGAATATAGAAAACGGATTTAAATAGATGAATGAATATAGAAAATGGATGTAAATAGATGAATGAATATAGAAAATGGATGTAAATAGATGAACGAATATAGAAAATGGATGTAAATAGATGAATGAATATGGAAAATGGATGTAAATAGATGAATGAATATAGATACCAAGGTGCTGCCCCAGGACCCGCCAAACACTTGCCACTTGTCAATGTTTAAATGCTCTCGCAGTGCCTCCATGTCGGAAATCAAGTGCCACGTCGTGTTGTCCTCGAGCGACGCGTGCGGGAGGCTGCGGCCGGACCCGCGCTGGTCCAACGCGATGATGCGGTACACGGCTGGGTCGTGGAATCGATTCATGACCGGGGTGCACCCTCCGCCAGGTCCGCCGTGCACGAGGATGACGGGCTTGCCGTTGGGATTCCCGCTTTCTTCGTAGTACAACGAGTGGGTCTTGGATACTTGCAAACGCCCAGTGGAATACGGTTCGATGGTCGGATACAAGAAGTCTTCGACAGAGCACTGCGACTTGTCTGGCAAGTCCCACTTGTTCACCGAGTCGTTTTTCGTGGTCGCGGCAACCGAACTGAACGCCACGGCGCTCAAGAGCGCAGATATTCCGACGATGTTCGTGGAGGAATTGCCGGAAGCGCCAGCTAGCGGAAGGGCAAATATGGCTCCACGAGGAGCCTTGCGGCTAACGACGCGTCGAACACTAGACAGACCTTTGCGCCACATGTCAAATCACACAGTGGCCACAATATATAGGGTGGTTTGCAAATGGGAATATTCCAATGAAATAATCCAGTGAAACATTTCGGGAAAATTTCAGTCAAATTTCGAGTTAGAAAGGCTGACTATTCCATCAGATCTAGCAGGCCAGCAACAAACGAAGCCACCCCATCGCTTCACGATCCAACATGATTTAGATCCCATAAAAGAGGTATCATCAATCCCCCACTCGAAGATAACGCATGCAGCCCCCAAGTGACGCTGGTAGTGCGTGTTCCAAAGAGTGGAGTTGGCTAGGTTTTGAAATACATGCTGATTTGCAAAAAGTCGCGGCCTTGGATATTCCAATAGAATTATTGGTTATTTCATTGGAATATTCCCATTTGCAAAACCACAATAACTACTTGACTCACTTCAACAGGATGCACACCTTGAACTCTTTTCTTGCCTGTGAATACAGTACTACTGTACTGGTATGTGATAATGTCATATCCAATCAAATACCTCAATTCTTCAAGTCATCCTCCATCCTTGAACTTTTTAATACCCGAGCTGTTAAGTGCGAATAAAGTCGTACCTAAGCAGTGATAGGGCTCCACGTTCTGACTGTGACGGCGGGCGGTCGCACGGCGTCGTCAAAGCGGGCGTCATTGGATGCATCGGTGGCCGTCATTCCACTAGCAATCGTCGTCGGGGCACTATTTTATCTTGGTTTAATTATACTACCTACTACTCTGTTCCCCATCAGTTGTATCCTTCATTTCACTTGATTAAAGTATACTCACTCGATTTTTTTGTCTTGAAATTTGTATTAATAGTCCGCGAGAGCATCGACCCCCACCAGAGATGTAGTGATGTATGGTGCAAGTCACCTAAGGACTACAAATAAATGCCTTGACTTTCGACAGCTATTCCAACTTTGTATTGACCCGACTTCACCGGCTCAACCCCTTCTTTGAGGCGCACCTTCAATGAACTTCAGCCGGAACACATCCCGAAAATTATTTAGGAAAATATACCGTAATAACGATAGAACTGGACAAGACCAACAGTAGTTACGGTTCAGATTTTGGATTGGTGAAAATTTGATCGAGTAATAGAATTTAAACCAACCGGCCTTTTTGTACGGAGATATATGGAACCAGGTACATTTTGGCCGAAAAGGAGTATCAAGTATATATTGGTCTTTGTATACAGAACTTATCCGTACGAACGTTTTCATTGTATCCGGATTATTCACAATGTTTAACCTAATTACCAGGTAAAAAACGTAACTAATAATGATTTAACGTCAAGATTTCGTGGGTTTAACTGAAAGAACCGAGGCGTTTAATAGTAAAACGTCTCCCCCTGAGGATGGCCGATCTGTAGTCTTTAGATGACTTGCACCATATCTCTCGATTGGCTTGGCCAATTCATGCGAAATATTTTGCGTTATAGTCGTCGAAATGTTCCCAATAAAACAATGCCACCCGTATCCTCTAAAACAGGATACACTGCACAATAACATGCACAACAAACTCGTTACAGTGTTAACGATTCCATCGAAAACTAATATATTGTGAAATTTGAGTTTTACATAGTGCACAACAGAAATATTATTTTGATTTAGACGAGCCAGTCAAACCTCCATGCCTTTATCATCGTGATACGGATAAAATACCGAAAATCGACGACATCCGTACAAAAAGCTCACAAAATATCTAAATTTGCTCTAACTTTTGCAATTCATGTCCGATTTCGATGAAATTACCGCCAAAATCACCGTAATGATTAGCGCAGCGATTCCCACGCGAATCAGTACGATCGGACAAAAATTGAGGGTGTAATTACCAAAAAACCAAATCGACACCATGGTCGTTGTCACAATACAGCGTATGAAGGACTTCGTTAAGCAGCGCCGTCAGCGCATCCTCACATACGACGAGAAGCTTGACATTCTGTGCCTTCAAGCTACTCTGCGGGAAGACAATACTGTGGGATGTCGCTGGTGTTGGAGGTGGCTTCACACCGACACTTACTACTTAGTGGTTTCATATCTTTACATATCTAGGAAGAGATCCAAATAGTGATGGTTGTAGAAACATCTTATACGATATACATATATTCACTCTTGAACAATCTACTTTGTGCCTACTCCTTACTTCCAAAGTCTAAGAGCTGGCACCATAGCCCGGCTGCTTGGTCGAAGTACACGTACTGTTAAAGCGGTTCTGGCTGAGTACATACAAACAGGAGATGTCACAGTCGCGAAGCTACCATCCAACACGATAACTCATCATTCACGCGTGCCAAACACACGTGTAGTTCGGGATCTTGTGCAGACTTTTGTCCGCGATCGATCTGTCACCCGCACGCGCACTATGGCGAAGGACGTTCTCGCCTTGCTGCATGATGCCCACGTGGTCACCGTTGCCGATGGAGCCAAAGACCACTCTTAGACTTTGGAAGTAAGGAGTAGGCACAAAGTAGATTGTTCAAGAGTGAATATATGTATATCGTATAAGATGTTTCTACAACCATCACTATTTGGATCTCTTCCTAGATATGTAAAGATATGAAACCACTAAGTAGTAAGTGTCGGTGTGAAGCCACCTCCAACAACCACGTTGCTTGTCTGTGCGCCGTTCAGCGCTTCTTGGACAAGCAAGGCTACGCACGTGGCAAGGCCTCTCGCAACACAACGTATCGGATGAACCTAGCGCAGGAGCAAGCCCGCGATCCGTACGTCAACTTCATGGTGCCGACAGTCACGACAGCTCCCCGACGACCGGTGGTGTACCTAGACGAGAGTTTGATCTACCACCACTACACCCGACATGCCGACAGTCTCTACGACCCCACGGACATCGCAAAGACGAAGCCAATGCACAAGGGTCGACGTTATTGTTTCATCGTTGGGATACTGGATGACGGCACGGACGCCTCGCACCTGTTGGGCCTCGACAGTTTTGTCGGCGGGAAAAAGAACGGAAGAACCGTGAAAGACTACCATTTTATGTTCAATCACGAGTATTTCGTCAACTGGTTTGGCAAACTACTGGACGAGGTGGAGGAACTTGGGTGATCCTCTGCTGTCTTTGTCATGGACAATGCGAAGTACCACAAGGGGAAGCCCTTAACGACACCCAAAGGAAGCTGTTGTTGTTGTTGAGGGTGTATTATAGTTTATACAGACAAAACTATTCAAAGGGGGGGGGCGACGATGACCTAACCAGGGTTGTGTAGGAGGTCCAGATCAAGGAAGTCGTAAAAGGTAGCGGTGTCGCTTGGTGACAAAGGACGCCTTTGCGCGTGAGTACCGTAGTCGCAGCAGTCATCCGGGGCCTGTTTGGACAGGAAATCGGCGGCCTGGTTGAATTTGCGCGGGCGGTGGGCAAAGACGCAGTGGAGTGTGGAGGCTAGGGTGCGCGCTTGGACGTAGGAATCGCGGAGACCGGAGTGACGTACGCGATTAAGGCCGCGCAAGTGATTCATGAGGAGGTTGCTGTCGCCGCACACCTCTACGTGGGTAAGGCGCATAGAAACCGCGAGGGTGAGGGCTCTGATCAGGCATATAATCGGCGATGTTGTTGGTCGTAGCAGTGGCAAGGAAGTGGGCGTCGTACTCACTGAGCAATGGTGCATGGTGTGGCATAGCGATGGCACCGGATCCCCCACAGCATGTTTCCATCCGAGCCGCTCCATCAAAAAGGATGAGGCCGCGTGAGGGAATAGGCATGTGGTGTGAGACGGTGGGGCCAGCGGATGCCCGGCGGCATTGTTGGACGAGGGCGGAGTAGACTGCGGCGCGGAGCGTGTGGTGTTGGTGAGAGTGATATGTGGCTAGTGCTTGGAAGTGGGACATAGCTACCGTTGGAAGGTGTGAGGGCAGGGCGGGTGGTGCGAGGGGGTCCGCATGGATCGCCTTACAGCGCTCCGTCCAGAGGATGCGAAATCCCAGTGATCGGAGGAGTGTCCAGCCCTGGTGGCAGAGGTTGTCGTACGCCGTGCCGTGGGTTTTCCACTGGGGGGCTTGGAGCATCCATCGGGCTGCTCGAGGTTGTTCGGCTGATGTAAGGTTGGCGATGTAATCTGAGGGTTTCGCGGCGACGTCCCCGTACCAGATTTGGAGCAGCGTAGTCCAGAGTGCATGCGCACGGGGGCATGTCCAGAAAGTGTGACTAGACTTGTCGGGGTTCCCGCAATAGGGGCATAGGGGATTTATCGATGAGTGTTTAAACCGGAACGCCTGGAAGTGCCATCGGTATTGAAACCATTGGAGGCTGCCAGGGAGATACGACGCGTGCCAGGGCCGAGTCCATGCGTCCGGGCGGTACGGGAGATTGAGGTCTGCACATAGTGCGGCGCGGCGGTCGGCATACTTGTGGTCGATGGGGCTAGGGGGGTGGAGATGTGTCCCGATGGTGGTGCTTAGGCGTTTAACATAAGAGCCCTGTTGCCGGAGATTGGTGCGAGGAGGAGGCGTTGGGAACCAGACGCGGCTTTGGGGGTTCAGGAGTGGGGCCGTGGCTTGAAGACCGAGTCCCGCACTGAGCATGAAGAACCAGGGGAGGTGAGCTTTGTCTTGTATGGTGGCGGTGTGCCGGGGTATGAAGGACCAGTATGTGGTGGTGGTGTTGGATTGAAAGGCGTCCGCGAAGGTATCGAAAGGTGCAGACTGGAGCGGGCGCGAATTGTGGTCGCGGATCCAGTCGTTGTGAGTGACTTGGTTGTGCCAGAGTAATTGCCGCCAGGCCAGAGTCGTGTCGCGGCAAAGGGATATCTGGAGGTGACGAGCCGCGATGACCAGCTCGGGGGGCATGTGGCAGCTGCAGCGGCCGGTGTGGTCCCAGGTGTATGTGCAGGCTGTTTTTGCAGCTAGTAGGAAGGCCTGGGTCGCGTCGCGGTCCAGCGTAGCGCGCTTCATGCGTTGGGAGAGTGCCGTGCTCGCCAGGATTTGGCCGTATTTCATCGAGTTCTCGTAGGGTCCGGAACCCTGAGGGGTGGTGGCGGGGTGGAGGGTGTACCTAGTTCCGTGGGGAAGCCGCAGGGTCGTGAGTGCGAGACCGCGCGCCCAGTGCCCTGGTTGGGCTCCGGATTGGATGAACCGCCGCAATGCCTGTTGTATGGCCACCCGGCGTACATCTGGCAGAGCCCAGCCCTCTTCGTGTCGTTGTCTCTGAAGGATTGCTCGAGGTATATGGGATGGGAGGTGTCCTGGCCGGATAGTAGTCACTCCCCACCACCAGAAGCGGTAGATGAGGAGCTCGAATTTACGGAGCTAGGGGGCAGGAGGCGGGATGTACGTGGCGAGGAAAGCCACTTTTGATTGGACAATGGCCTGCAGTAAGCGTGCGCGGGCTGGCAGGGATGTCGTTTTGGAACTAGCGACTCGGAGGCGCTGTACCGTGGAGTTGTAGCACTGTTCCCAATTGGCGTCTGCTAGTCCCCCTAATCCGACTTGGAGCCCCAGGTACCGTCTGCGACCACCCCCCTCAATGAAGGGGATGTCATGGAGGCGGGTGGGGTGGTGGGCTTTATTTAGGCAGATACCAAAGGATTTGTGGGGTTGGACCCGCAGCCCGGACATATCGCCGAACCGACGGAGGATATCGAGAAGTAGGGGAAGAGAGCTGAGGTGGCGCAAGTAGAGGGCTGTGTCGTCTACATGGGCGTTGCAGATCAACGGGGTGATAGAAGGTCCATCAGGGATGAGGATCCCGTGGTCCCACGCGAGATTTTGCAGGGAGGCCAGGAACGGTTCCATCCCCAGGATGAACAGTGACGGTGCGAGGGGACATCCTTGCCGGATACCCGAGGACTGTGCTAAGGCAGCCGATTTGGTTCCGTTGACCACAAAGCGGACCGTGGTGTGTTCGTGCAGGCGGGAGATGAGGACGACGAAAGCGGGAGGAAACCCCATGGCTGACATGGTGCATTCAAGGTGTGGGCGTTCGAGACTATCGTACGCCTTTTGGATGTCGAGACATATGATAGCAGCGGACTCTAGCATAGGGGTGTCGGGGAGGCAGGATTGCTCCTCAAGGGCTCGTTGAAGCAGGCCAATGCTGTCCGCTAATGTGCGGCCTGGGACAAAGCCCTGCTGCTGCGCTCCAATGGCTTGGTGAAGGAGCGGCTGGAGCCGGAGGGCAATGATTTGTGCAAACAGTTTGTACGCCGAGTTAAGCAACGCAATGGGGCGGTAATCGAGCGCATGGGGGCTGTTTCCTTTCTTTTTGAGTGGTATCACATCGGCTTCGCTGAAGCTGCGGGGCATCCCGTGGCCAAGAAGGATACTATTGAATACCGCTAAGAAGCTGGGTGTGAGGGCCTTTTGGAATTTGTGGAAAAAACCATTGGGGATCCCGTCCGGTCCTGGAGATTTGGAGCCCGCCATACGTGCGAGCGCCGTAGTCAGTTCCTGTGGGGTTATCGGGGCCATCAGGTGGGAAGTGGAGGCGTGCTTGAGGCGACCCGCTATGGCGCGGAGAAACTCTGGGTGTGACGTGCGAACGTAGTCGCGACCGGCTTCGCTTGAGCCGTGAGAGCTGGACATGATTGCCCGCCACCCGTTAGCCATGTTATCGGCGGTGGTGCCCGAAGGGTGTCCGTCCGGAGGGGAGATGTCGGGGAGTGATCCGCTGTCCCATTTGTCAGTAAATCGAAGGAAGAAGCGGCGGGAGGGTGCGTCCCCTCGATAGATGGCGCTCCCGTGTTTGTACTCCGAGATGTCGCGCAAGTGCTGTGCGGCTTCGTCAATAATAATGAGCCGTGTGACGGGGTCGTCGAGGCGGTCCGAGGGGGAGGCGGGGGGCGTTCCAGCTCCTGTAGACGTAGCAGTAGCTCCTGAAGGCCTGCAATGAATTTATCCCAAGCCTCCCCAATCAACCCCGGTGGGCTGTGGTGGGGGGCAGGCGGTCGATGTGCGCGAGGATGCGGTTGGATAATGTTGTGGAGTGGGCCGATCTAATGGGGTATAGACGTATGCGGTCATTCCCGCGCGGTGGCGGGGAGCCGATGAGCAGGCAGACGGCATTGTGGTCACTTCTTTGGCCCGGAGGGTGGGTGGTAACCGCCTTCACTGTGTTGCGGAGGGATTCCGGTACGTAGATGCGGTCTATACGCGAGATCGATTTTGATTGGGGCCGGATGCAGGTGGCTGAGGCTTGGAGGAAGGATTGGGCGTCCGCGGAGGTCTTGGGTGGTCGACGGGTTTGCCAGATGCTGTCGTGGAGATGTTGCCTAGTGAGCCATGTCTCGAGGCCGTCACATTCTGGGTTCGGCGGTCGTTTGGGGTTGGTGTGTTGGCGGTCCCAGCGAGGGTGAGAGACACAGTTGAAGTCGCCTCCCACGAGGAATGGCGTGGTGGGTGGTGTCAGCGTCGCGAGGTGGTGGAAGAACTCCTGGCGGTCCCTGGAGTTTGTGCTGGGGGCATAGAGCGGTGCGACGGTCAGGGATGGGGAGTGGATCTGGATGTACCGGCCGGGGGTGGTGTGGCCTGTGTTGTCTTGCGTGAAAGCCAATTGCGAGTAGGGGTTGAGGAGGATGGCAACGCCGTTGGTGCTATTGGCCGTGACGGTCCAGAAAGCAATGGGGTGAGGGGTAGTGGTGAGTCCCCAGAGCCGTGTCCAGCTTTCTGTGAGTTGGCGGGCTTGAGCGGGGGACGAGACGTGGGTCTCCTGGATACAGATGATATCCAGGCGATCGTGGGTAATGTGGGCTTTCCAGCTGTCCATCCAGGCAGCCACCGTGTCGCGCCGAAAGCCGGCTACATTTTGGGTGAGGAGGCGGAGACGTGATGGAGCCTGGTGAGATGGGGCTGGAGCGGTCGTTGACCGGTGTAATGTAGATGTAGGATGGAGGTCTGTTCGTGGCCTTTGGGCCGGGTAGCGGCCGGGGGGTCGCGGGCGAGGGGAATACAATATATAATGTGTATGGGGAGGGGTAGACTTGCGGCTACTCCTTGTATCCGCTGGAGGAGTATCCCCACGCGAAATGGTGTTTCTCGACCCAGGGCCAGAGCAGTGCCCACTTGCCCTTGCTTAAGTGGTCCAGGATGGTCGGTAGGTCCCCGAGGGTGACCGTGGTGAGAAGGTTTCCCAGTGTGGGGATGTCCGGGAGTTCGTCAATCTCGATGCCGTCCTTATCTAACAGAACGCCTACTATGCCCAAGTCCGTTGTGTGGGTGAGAGGGAGGTGAATAGACGCCCATCGTAGATGGCAAGGGGAATCTCCGTGACTTGGAGGAGAGAGGACCACTGTGTATCGCTAAGGGACTCGGTCATCGCCAGTGGCAGGGTGGGTGCATCAAAGATGGCGTCTTTCCACCTGTCGAGGCGAGTGTGGAGGGCCTTGTGGGGGTAGAGGTCCCGCATGGCGTCCATTGTGGCGTAGACGATTTCCAGGAGCATGTGGTCTCCCCAGTCCATGAGTACTTGCAAGGGTAGTTTACTCAGGAGAGTTTCTGGGTTCCCAAGGGTGAAGAGCATTACGCGGGCAGTCCGGGGAAAGTCCGCGAAGAGTGGTTCAATCTCGGCCACTGTAGTGATCGGGGCAGGAAACTTCCTGCCGGTGAGACCTTCTTTATGTTCGACATCCATTGGGTGACTGCTTTGGCATATTTGGTGGGTAGTTTCCGGCTGGGTTGTAAAAGGGGTGTCAAGTTAGGTGCTGGTGCGGATCGGGGTGCGGTCATATGGATGGGATCAAAATGGTTGCCACCTTTATGAGCCAGGAGGACCGTGGTTGGAGTGAACTTGGCTAGAGTATCCTCCCACTGGTGCGTCGGGATAGGAACCTTGTCGATATCCGTGGCCCCCGTCGTGAACCCGACACGCCAAAGCCACCACGTGTTGTCCACCTGCTGCTCTTGCAGGACGTAAACTGGATGACCCCATACGGCTGCCGCGGCTCCTATCTCAGGGTAGCCGCACCAGTCTCGTTTGGGGATGCCTTGCGCCGGGTGGGCGGCGATGAGGCGTGCGAAGAACTGGTGAATGTAGTCGTCGACGGACCCTTGAGACTGTACCGCCGAGTCTTCCAGCTGGTGGGGCCATCGTGGCATGTAGTGGCCCGTAAAGGCCGGGTGCGCCTGAACGACGTCGCGTATCGCCGTCTTGAGGTCTTTGATGGCTTCAATAATGCGAACATCGTGGTGCGACCGCCCGGACCATGCGTGTCCGTGTTTGGCGCAGTATAGTGCCAGCACACAGCATTGACCCAGTGCGGCCACGATGCCTACCTGCCAGGGGTGGTGCTCTAGTAAACTCTGGAGTGTGCCCTTTCGGACAAAGTCCATCTGGGGATGCCTGGGGCGCTGGTAAGTCCGACAGGTCTATGGTCTCTGGGGCTGGGGTCATCATACTGGCAATGCTCCCGGTAACTATGGAGGGGCTGACCGTCGTCTGGACCCTCGCTTGAAAGACCTCTTCTGCAGTGATGGTGGGTTGGGCGCCAGCGGCCGGGAGGTGTGGTACCGCGTCGTTGTGTTCGTCTGTGGCGCTGCGTCCGGTGGGGGGGAGGGTGGTGGAGACTAGGCGTTGTACGCACGGCTCTTCATCCGGCTCGGAGGTGTCCATGTCCACCTCGGATGGGGTTGGGCTTGTCGGTGTCGATCGCATGCCCTCTGGGGAGGCGGCGGGGGAGTGATCTTCTGGGGTTTGCTGGCTCGTGCGGGGGGGTGAGAGTTGTTCGGGTATGTCCGAAATGGGTGATGTTGCATCGTCTGTTTTAGTTAGTCTGGAGTGGAGGGGGTCCCGCTCCGTGTCCATCCACGGCATGTCCGTCGCGGCGTCGGTCATATGGATGTGACTGGCGACTGTGGATTGCCTTGTGGTGGGGGAGATTGGGGTGAGGGGTGGGGTTCTCCACTCTACGTGGTCAGCAAGCCCAGTGCCTAGATGCATCCGTGCCGCGGCGTCAGCTTCTGGGGGGTAATCACGTTCAAGTTCATGTTGCCGTGCGTTGTGCAGATGGGCAGGGTTGTCGGGGTACGGCGGCCACTGCGACGGGTCTGGTGGGGCCGATCCAGTGCCGGCGGGGTGATGCGGCATGGATGAGGCGGGCTTTGCGGCGTCTAGGGGTGGGGGTATGCCGTTGGTGGGGTTCGCCGCTGGTTGTGATGTTTGTGTCCCGTGGTTCAACGCCCTGCTCTGGGATCCAGCATCAACTTCGGTGGATGGATGTGGTTTCGTTGGTGGGGTGGTCAGTTGCAATGGCACCCGGGTGGCCACCGTGTGCGTGTCATTTGGTTCATCGTCGGGAGTGCTAATGGGGTGCGAGGGGCTATGGTGGTCGATCTGGGATCGCCATTCGAGGAACGTGGGTCTAGTGGTGATTTCAGTATTGGTGGGATCGGCCCAGAGTGTTGGGGACAATGTAATGACCCGTTCGGTCTGGAACGCCGTCTTGGGGCATTTCTCCGCCTGATGGTCTAACGCTGCGCACCCATGGCACGGCATGTTTCCGTAGTCTTGGAAGTGATGGAGCTGGACCGTGGTAGTACCGATACTAATGCGAGATTTGCCGACGAGTTGGGGTGGTACTTTGCCCGAGTTGGTAACCACCAGATAGCTGTTGGCATCGAGTTCTCCGCTGCCCATATGTTGGGCGATCTCCATGCTGGTGACCACCACCTCGAGTTGTTGGAGGAGATGGATGACCTGGAGTGCCTTGATGTGGGCGGGGATATTGAGCAGGCGGAAACTGTACGCCGTGCACTTCTGGGTTTCTTCGGTGTCGAGGTGGGAGGTCGCATCTTCTGGGCGCCGGTAGTGGCGCAGCCATGAGGCGTGCCCCAGGAACGCGATCTGTCGATCCCGCCACAGGGATGCCTTTTGCTTGGAGTTGAATTGTATGATCAGTTTCCTTCCGTGGGGGTGGATATAGCACGAGTGCATATCGCGGCGGAGTGCATCGCAGTCCTGAACCGCCTCGCGGTTGGTGCTGGCATGCATAGGGAAGAACAGCCGTCCCAGGGATGTGCTGGTCATTTCTGTAGGGAGACGGGCCAGAGCTTTGATAGGAACTTGGAGAAATCCAAATTGTTGCCTCATTTGGTCGCTGAAGAGTGCGATTTCCAGAGGCGTGAGGATTTGTTTGAGAAACTTGGGGGGAGTGTCCAATGCCAGCTGGCCCGCAAGGATGGCATTTAAAATGTCGAGTTCTCGGTGGGTCGGTGGACGCTTGGAATCGGTCCATGCGAAGCACGATGCTTTGCATTCCGCATGTGCTGCACGGTCGGCTGCCAATTGCGGGGTGTCGCGGTGTTTCATTGAGGGGTGACGTTTTCCCTGTGTTTTGACTTTCTCCGCAAAGGATGGGCCCTTGGAAGAGAGAGTACTGTTCACTCGCTGGAGGTACCGCTCGGGTGGGCTCTGTTGTGCGCGTGATGGGGATTGTTGGAGAGTTTGATGGTTCTTCTGGGCTGGAGACGTCCATGTTTTCACTGGGATCCTCCGGTGGTGTGGCGTCCGCCACTTCGGCTGCGGGCATCCTGGTGGCAGACGGTTTTTGTGAAAACCTGGTCACCGTCACTGGATTCTCGAGTTTGGCGCGAGCGTTGCGTTTGCGGCCCGCCTCCAAGGAGCCTTGCCGCGAGTGTTTAGGGTTGGTAAACGGCCGTACAGGAACGTCCGTCGGGGTCTCATCCGGTGGATGAGGTCGCGCCTGCTCTGGTGGCAGGCCTCCGCCATTCATTTCGTTCGTCATTTACTTCCGGATAATACCCGGATGCGGACTAGCGATCAAATTCGGGAATACACCCAAAGGAAGCTGGAAGAAGGCCGACCTCTACCAGGCGTGCCTGAAGTATGACATAAGAGATGTCTCACCAACCGACCTAAAGGCAGCGATGTGGGCACGACTAAAGAAGTACATTGACGAGCATATCTACCCGGTCGTGGTGCAGATGGCCCAAGCGCGTGGTCATCATATCGTGTATGCCGCGCCAGGCTTCTCCGAGCTGCAGCCCATCGAGCTGATCTGGGCGAACGTCAAGGGCACCGTTGGCCGAGCCTATACGAACAGACACAACATTTCAAGATGTATACAAGCGCCTCGACAATGTATTCTATCACCTGGACTCCGAGACCATCAAGGCCACGATCGAGAACTCGAAACCAAGCTCATTGCGCTTGAAAAAGCACTCCGCCAGGCGGAAGGGGCGGCTGCCTCTATTGTATCAGGTAATAGCGATGGGGATAGTGATACGTCTTCATCATGTGATGAAAGTTCCGCTGGGTCAAGCGATGGCGGCGACTCTAACGCGAGCGACGTTGACGATCACCCATTGTCACACTCATCAATCGCCGGTACTACCTTTGGCACGACGAAGACGTACCGATTCGACGATTTACGTCCAAACGTCACATCGTCAAAGTGATGTTCTTGACGGCGGTTGCGCGGGTTCGGTATGATGCGAGGAAGAAGGCGATGTGGAACGGCAAGATTGGGATGTGGCCGTTTGTGTCCATGGTTCCGGCGCAGCGCAAAAGCAAGAACCGTGAACGGGGTACAATGGTGACGACTCCCCTGACAGTAACGAAGCCCATTTACCGCCAATTCCTGGTGGACCACGTAAGCATCAAGCTTCTGTGGCCTGGGCGACGCACCTGTCGATTTACATCCAACAAGACAACGCACGGTCTCATGTTCAAGTTGATGACGCCGTCATGGCTGCTGCTGGTTGGTCAGACGGTTGGATGATTCAACTCATGGCGCAGCCTGCCATGAGTCCAGACTTCAACGTCTTGGACCTGTGATTTTTCAACTCCATTCAATGCCTTCAACACCTCCAGATTGTCACAACAATTGACGAGCTGGTGTCTGCTGCGACCGGAGCATTCAACGATCTGGATGGGCGTGTGCTGGACAAGACGTTCATGGTGCTTCAAAAGGTATTGGAGGAATCGTTGAAGATCGGTGGCGACAATGCGTACAAGTTGCCCCATTTGCACAAAGACAAGCTCGCCAGACAGGGTCCACAAAATCCTCAGCTGGCTTGTGATCCTGAGGTTATGAGTGTCATCGATGAGATGAATAGTAGAAAGGAATTTGAGCGTCGAGTAGATAATCTGTCTGGAGTGTTGGCATCGTGCGCGATCGAAGGTACAATCAATATGTCAAATATTGATAACCTTTGCGCGATGGCTCGCGATATTGACTTGGTCGATAACGATGAAGAGTGATGCACATCATATCATGCAAGCCTTCGTCGTAACTTCTTGAACTTGAATAAAAATGCGTTTTGGCACTCATTTGTTTATACAAACTTCCATATAAAATTTCGCCCAAAAAATTGTCTCCACTTTTATGGAATAGAGGAAGTAGATGAGAGTGCAAATGCATGAGGGTATAATAACCCTTGCGATCATGTGGGACTCCCAGAAACATGGTCTTCACGGCACGGGGGTCGAGCTTGGAGGATTGCGCGGCACGTTGGTTGTGGACAAATGTGGTGCAGCCAAAGGTTTTAATGTGACCCAAAGATGGGTGTAGTTTAAAAACGACGTGGTAGGGTGAAACATCTTTGTTGGATGCCAAAGGGATATGTTGATAAGCCATGATAGCATAGTCGAGGGCAAGAGACCATAGGAACTTGGGCAGAGTCCCTGCAATGAGCATAGCTCACAGTTTCTGCACGACAATGCCGATACGGCGTTCGTCTACGGCGTTTTGCTGGGGGGAGTAGGCGTGGAGAAAGCCACCCGAGTGTTGTACTTGGGTTTGATGATGCGCCCGAGTTTCTCGAACGCTTTGGCGTTGTCGCTTTGGAGGGTGCCGATGTCCATTGGTTGTGAGTGGCTCAACTATCCAACATCATGTTTGAAAATGGGCATCGGGTCCGTGCGAAATAATTCGTAGTTCTCATAGAAATCTCTGCGAAATCGCATGGGGTAGGTCCACATAAAGCGGGAGTTATCATCGGTAAATACGACAAAGTAGGCAGCGTCAACTATAGAATCGGGCTTGGGCCCCAGTCGTCGGAGTGTACGAGGGCAAGGTAGGAGGCCGCGCGGAAGTCCGCAGTTGAGTCGAAAGGATTGCGCTTGGGACTTGGCATAATCACAAGTCTTAACATAAGTGACCACGAAGGTGCTTGGCCTTGAAGATCATTAGTTCGGGATTTGACTTTGTCATTTGTTCGAAAGCGTCAACGCCAGGATAGACGAGACCGCGGTGCCACAAGCAGGCAAGACTAATTGCAGAGAGTTTGGAGTCAGCCACGAGACACGTTAGGCAATCGGTCGGAACAGTAGTGGTGTCATAGACTAGAGTATATAATGTGCCAACCAAGCATAGCCTGGGCGACACTCATGGAGACAGAGTCTGGAGTGATGGGGCAGAAGGTAGATGGCTTGGGGACCATATATGGTCGATGACTGATTGGCCCATAGCGCAATACAGACGAATACGCAAAAATGTGCAAATGATCCTTAAAAGTGGAAAATCCACTGTAGTTGGAGGCGAAAGTCCACAGAGCGGTCTCGAAGGTGCCGAGCATGCCAGTGAGCATGGCCATCTGGCCTGGATGGATACACTCCCCACGGTGCGGGTTCGTGGAGGGCTCGAGCTTTGGCTTGCAAGGAAACGAGTAGAGACTAATGGCGTTGTTGAGTGTATCAAGCACATCACCAAGAGAGGTGGTGATTTCGCACATATCTGAGCCTGGCGAACCTATAATAGATTTAACTCTAGTTGTGGGCAATGTAGACCAATGGTGAGGCGTAGGGTATATGGACGAATGTCGTCGACTTGGTCACGGGACGACATATCCACGGCCATGGTAATAGGGCCATATCCAAGGACGGGAAGTTGGGCGCCGTTCCCCACTATAAGAGACAGTGTGCAGGGGACGTAGTTGGAGAAATAATCTCGGTTGGGTGTGCAGGAAGCAGAGGTACCGGAGTCGACAATCCAGGTTCTCGCAGAGCGGGAAAGTCGTTGGGCGATAACTCACCGACATAGATTGCGGCGGGTCACCGGGGTCGCTTTCACAGTAGCGAAGGTCCGCATGGAGGGAGAAAACGCCTTGTCCACCGGCAACTTGGAATGGGGGGTGGGGACGACACCGTCCACACATCGTGGTGGGAGTTGGAGAACCACCTTGACCGGTGTTTCCGACGCCGTGGTAATAATATCGCTGCGGGTGGCCGAGATGGCACTGGGTGGGGACAGTGAAAGATCCACTTTGGTAGGGTTCGCAGGAATTTGGAACAATGGACGCGGTTGGTAGAGTGGCAAACACTCGGTAATAAGTACCTCGGTGGAGGGGACTTCAGCAAAGTCAAGGTCACCGGCATCCACAGGAGATTGAAAGTGGTCGGGTAGATCGCCCGGTCAACAGTGATGTGAGCGAGGGTAGTTGCTACAATAAGCGTAGGATCGTGGGGCGGTTATACAGACACATCGCAGAGTGAGGCAGAGCCCGGGCGGAACACCTTGGGCAAAACTGTCGGTGGGTTGGGGCGCTGAAGGGCCCGTTGCGGGCATATCCCGATTTGAGAGTAGGGCACGCAGTAAGTGTGGGATTGGCAACGCCACACTAGGAGCAGGACTTGTCGGGGTTGTTGACACAATCATGGTGAGTATAGCTCAGAATAGTGAAGGCTTGAGAACATGGAAGGAGTCATCGGCTTGCGTAATCACTTATACGGTTGGAGGCGCAGGGGTCGCAACGGCATGCATGACGGCGGCAAATTGGATTCGTGTTTGGATAGTAGCGGCAGAGCTGTGGTCACCCAGAGAAGACGCTTGTTCGAGGCGGTTCGTAATAATACGCCGAAGGGAGTTCCAGGCGTCAGAACGATGACTGACTCGTTGGTGGCGCGCGCAGTGGCAACGGAGTTCGTCACGACTTACCACAGTTCCTTGTCACCAATTAAGGTGTCGGACATCGCACACAGAGTGTAGTAGTTCCAAATATGGTTGTGATAGTCGACGGACGAAATCACCGACGGATCCAAAGGATTGAAGAAGGGCGAAATCATAGACATACGGTAGCGTTTCGATGAGTTCCACGGAGTGTCGATACAACTCTCTTCCTTGAACCTGAGAGTGCGCAGATAGCTGGCAAAGACAGTGGGGTTGTTGTCCATGGGAATGGATTCGAAACGGGCCTTGATGCGCCCAAAGATCTCGCAGGGAAACGTTGTGGTCTGATTAGAGACAGAGAAGACTTGTAGATATGGCGGATACCAAAAAGGTGGGCTGAAACCCCGGAACAACTTAGGGATCGGTGTGTTCGACTTGATCGAGCTCGAGATACATCTTGCTGATGTTGAGAGCATTGAAGCGGTTGCCCTGAGGAACGTGGTCCGATGTAGAGTAGAACTCCGCGACATCCCGGGACGTCGCTTCGAAGTCCGCCTTCCACAAGATGTAGACCAGAGGCCGCAGGTCGTCGAGCGGAGTGCCTACTAAGGGCCGCACAGAGGAAGGCAGGAAGCGCATAACCTGTCAAGAGGGACGAGGAAAGAGGTAGCGCTGAGGAGGGGCGTTTACGAGGAACGCTTGTGTGGTCGAGAGCAAAACCATTAGTGATCATTAACCGACTGCTTAGCTGACCTATGATTGGGTAGAAACTGTCCGGCTTCTACAGAAACATAAGACCGGATATTATCCGTAAGTGATCGAACCTCGGACAGTTTTGAGTAGATCAACCATAACGTAGAAAACCAATTTAAGGTGCTCGAACCATTTAATGGTGCACTTGAATCAGCCAATCAAATGTAGTCAACATACTGGGAGATAACCTCCTTAATCTAATTAATACCCGAAGTGAATTTTGGCGCCTGTCTTGTTTTGTTTTGGCGTCTGTCATGCGCGACCGCGATCACGATATACATGCGTTGAGCTTGACACAGCTGTTCAAGATGTGCTTGCTGGGCGAAACGGGAAGCAAGTGGCAGCGTTGTCCAAGATACCCTACAACACCCTCATGAAGTATGTGTGCGCGACAAAGGCCAGCACCACCACGACACCAAAGTGCCGCGGGTCACGCCCTACCATGCCCACAAGCTGTGAAGAAGACCTGGTGTCTATTAGTTTTTGTTGGACTTGCATCGCATTACTCATCAGGAATTATTGAATTGTGGAATTTACTCCAAGTTGTATTACTTTGTTTGCCATCGAATGCGACGCATCTATTTCAGCCTTTGGATGTGGCTGTCTTCGGCCCGTACAAGACGGCGATTCGTAAAGCCATTTTTGAGGAGATGGTGAATGACGGTAAAGTTACAAATACTTCCATTGTACATGTACCGGTGTACGTTACGTAGATATTTCTCACGAGGCTTATTACTACGGATGACTTGCACTCCGAACGAAAGAAGAAGCGAAGAGCGGCGCTGGTGTTGTGCCCTTATCGCTGCCACGATGGGCCTCAATTCCTTGCCTAATGGTCAAGTCAAAGCCAACCGCAAGAACGCTGTGCAAGTTGCAGTGTA